GAGCCCTGACTCCTAGCTATCTATTAGACTCCTAAATGCCAGAGTGTGTAAGTGGGGGCCACTGCTGCCCACCTCTTCCAGCAACTTGCTGGGGAGCCTTTAGCCCTGAGCAGGTGAGGGTACACTCATGTGGGCCCGAGTTGTCTGGGAGCCCAGCAAATCACATTTTCTATGATTCAGCCAGAGGTGTAGTTTGCTGAAGACCGATGGCAGCATATACCTGTGGGGCACTTCACAAGGAGGGCTGTCATTAGGGCTCCTAAAATTCTGTCGGAAATTTGGTGCAAAGTAGAGAACCTATTTTCTACATTCTTAGATAAAGCCACAAAAACATAAAACACATCTTCTTTGAGATTGTTCAGAGATGGCCTGGAAAGCCAAGAAGAAAGAGTAATGGGGTTGATACGGCTAAGAGAGCTGTCTATCTGGTTTTCAGATAAGCCCATCCTAAACTACGAATGTACTTTCTTCCTTGAGCAAGAACTTGTTCTCCTTTTAGTCAGACAAGAAATGAATACAGTTTGGCTAAAATTCCAGGAACTAGTTTCTTTATCAATTAATTTCTATGTAAAATGATACAAACACATCTATAAGAACTCCAACTTAAGGCTCAGTGTGAGAGAATTCTGCTCTGTAGATGCATGGGCAAGATGTGGGAGAGTATCATCTCCTACCCTCTCATGGTGTGGGTTATCTACCATATGCGTATGATGGTTAGTGTACAGTTAAGCAATGTTAAGTTGCCCCTTTGTAATGAATGGGTCTTGATAGACCCTCTTTCCATGCTTGGGGACTCATCTGGATGAGATATCATAAAATGATCCTATGGTGTTGGAACAGGTGTCCTAAGCCTGCAAGAACTGGAGTTGTCTCTGGAGCAGTCACTACCACTCAACCAAAGATGTAGCCTTTAGGGGAACTGCAACCAAGTAAGGGAACACCGGATATTCTGGAAAATTTGAATCATAATGAAGTTTGAGTTTTAATAAGAAAAAGTCTTCGAGAATTTATTTTTGGAGAGGGCCAAATGGACTCTTAGGAAAGCTACTCAAGTCCAGAAAAACAACTTATAACCAGAGACCACCTGCCCAAGAGACAAACAGGGATCTGGAAGAGAAAGAAGCCAAACAAAGTACCTGCAAAGTTCTGTGAGCATTTTAAGCCTAGATGGAAAATTCTTATGATGAGGAAGTTTGAGAATCCTGCAAAGCTTTTCTCCATTTTTCCTGTATCAGATCTTAAGATTAGATATTTATATTTCAGAAAACCATTTTTTTTTTAATTTTCTTATTTCCTTGCAAATTCTTTTAAAACATGCTTTGGTGTATGAATAAAAAACAAAGTAAAAGGATTTACTTTGCAAATGGGTGAGAATTTTATAAGGGTCAAGCTTACATTCCAGTGTTCCTGGGACTGGTGGCAGCAGCTTGTTTAAAGTGAGAAAACTCTAAGACCTAAATACTGTTTGCAAACCCTTTCTTTCTAGGGATTTCTGCTAGAGTTCATTTTTGTCTAAATTTTAAAGTCTGTTTTCACAGCAGACTGTATCACTTTCAAATGGCTGCAATATAACCTCCCATACCACGATCTCGTCATACAATGGGATGTGGACTTGGCTCCTATTGAGAGGTAGGGATTTATATTCTCTGCCTGGGAATTGGAACAGGGCTTTGACTTTGGCGGAAGTGATACATTGCATCTTCAAAAGCTAGGACATAAAGGATAATACACCTTCCACCTGGTTCTTCTGGAATTCCAGCTCTTAGAACCCAGCCTCCATGCTGTGAGGAAGCCTAAGCAGCCTGTGGAGAATCCCATATGGAGAAGGACTATAGTTCTTTGCCTACAGCCCTGGCTAACAGCCAAAATCTACTTGCTAGCCATGTCGGTGAGCCATCTTGAAAGTGTGACTTCCATCCCCTAGTTGGTCAGATGTCGTATGAAGTAAAGAGCAGTCCCCACCAAGCTCTGACCAAATTGCATATTTGTGAGCAAACAAATGACCCTCGTTGTTTTAAGTGACTAAATTTTGGGATTTTTTTTTTTTTATATGGCAAGATAACTGATATAGTTTCTGAATTCTATAAACACTCAAGGTGCTCTTTGGTGTTCATTTTAGGTAAATTGTTTTGATTTAGAGATGCCTCTTTTCCTCACAAGCAGCTGTCCTAACAACTATCTTAACTTAGATTCTACAAAGAGTTCTGGAACCTCTGAGGAGGGTAAAAGGTGATACATGAGAGAACCATTTTTTTTGAGTCCTACTTGCTCAGTGGATATGAGGAGGGAGTAAGGATGGTTTCCTCTTTCCTTAGACTTAAGGCTTTGTCAGCCACCTTTATCACTTATCCTCCAGTTGGGAAGGTGGCTAGATGTGGTTTTTCATGGAGTAACTGGTAAGACTAGCGTTTCATATTTCTAAAATGTAAAAGGGATAACATATGCTGCCATACCTGATGCACATACACTGCATTTATTAGTGACATCAATGACTAAACAGGTACACCTATGAGCTGCTCATGGAGTAGTTCATGTTATTCTCTCATGTCCCTCTTGGACAGTTGGGATCCATGCTCACTTTCAATCCTCTAATGGAGATGTCCATACCAAGAAGGGTCTGCCATCCTTCCTGGGTCCAGAGATTAGCCTTATGCTAAGAGGGAAAGACTTAGTTGGTCTTATTCCTCACTGTGACCTGATATAGTATGTCCCTCTTGAGCTGATATGAATCCAAACTGAGACATATCTGATGATGGTGCTAACTTCTTCTTTGTATCTAAAATTTCTGCCTTCACTCCTTTGTTCCACTCCATTTCCAATAGATTTATTCAGATGAAATCGAGTATCCTTTTTAGATAGTTCCTTTGAAGCCCTTCCCAACCTAACTCATACTCTTAAGCTCTTTATGTGTTTCCCTGCCTTCCCCTGACAGTTTTAATTCCCTAGCAGAAACTACCACACCAAGTAGGACAAAGTAGACAGCCAAGCAAACACAATCAAGATGATGGTGAGAGTGGCTCTATTCTTTCTTTTACCTTGCAGGCCACTGGAAGAATGTTTCTCTGAGAACAGATGGTTCTCACTCCTCTGCCTTTTTTGTACCTAAAAAGGGCTAGAAACTGGGGCTAGGCCTTAATAATTCGGCATTTCTCTCTAGGCCAGTTAGCTGCCTAGAGGTTTTGAAAGGAGAAGAATCCTGCTATCACCAGTTCTGCAAATGGGTCTCAATAGGATTTATAGCTCTAGGACCTTGGGAAAGCATGCATATGGGTGTGTATGTGTATATATATTGAGGGTGGACTTGTCTTTCTTGGGTATGCTACTTGAAATTAGTCTATCAGTGGAGGCCTAGATCTTCCAACTCACTCACTTCATATCCCTAAGAAAGGCATCTTAGCAGAAAAAGAGAACCAGTGGCTCGGTGAGAGATGCCTCCAGAGTTATGCATCTTGAGTGTGTTTGTATGACTGGAGTGGTATGGTAGAGTAGGAGATTATTCATGGGTTCTGGTTCTTTAGATTACATCCAGTGCTAAAACTTTACCAATATATTTGCTGCTCTGCTTTCCATCTTTCCAGCTTTCCATCTCCTGGCTGGCAGTGAGTTAAGAAGGTTCAGGTTTCAGGGAAGGCTGTTCTTCCAGTGTTCAATGTATGTTATTTGTGCGAATGTGTATGTTCCCAGAAGCAATTCTCCTTATTGTTCTGTTGGGAGCTTCATGTCCTGGAGCCAGTGCTTTGTGGCCAAGAAGTACTTTGAGAGGGTGAAATTCCTAAGCTCTCCTTCACTATCCCTCTGTCTCCCTTCCTTGGCCCAAATCCCATCCTAGGAAGCTCTGCCACTCTCATCACTGCTCTCACTCCTGAAAGAACAGACGTCTTCATCGCAGCCTCAGAACGTTGGTGTGAGGTGATTGTTTATACTAGATGTTTCCATGACACTCATTTATTTCTTCTGCAAATACAACCATACTGGGAGAGGGGATGAAGAGAGGTTAGAGAGATTGGGAAGTATAAAGTCCTTCTCATTTGTTCATCTGTCTTCTCCCATAGGAATAAGAAGCCCATCTTCCCCTTTCCCTGTGTCCCTCTGTCTCAGACTCCTAAAATGCTCCCCAAATCCACCTTAGATTTATGTTGCTGAGATGGAGTTTAGGATCCCAATTAGGTGGGGAGAGGAGGAATCTTGAACATGAGGAGGCAGCCTTTTATAGGAGAAAGAAAAAACTTTTATTGCTCAAAGTTGAGATTTAGTAATGATGAGGAACATTGACCTGCTCTGGGGGTGGCAATGTGAGTACGTATGTTCCAGAGGGGGTCTGTGACACTCCTGCAGTTGAGCTAATGACTCATTCTAAATCTGAGCGACTTTCAGGGGTCGTTTTAGTCATTACCCTGCCTTCAGGCTGGATGGAGCTTAACATCACATTTGGGTAGGAGGGAGTGCGTTCTAGAGGGAAACGTGTACGTGTGTGGAAGGGAGTGGGGGTGGGGGAGTTTGTGCATGACCTCTTTGAACAGATTTCCGGCGAAGGACGTTCCCGAGCTTTCCCAGGCTGCGCGTTCCTGGGTTTCCCCATTACTGAATCAGCATCGTCCTCCCGGGAATTGCTTTTAGCTGGATGGAAACCGGATGTTGGATTCCCTGGATGGGCGGGGGAGACGTCCCCTAAGAAATGTCAGGGGTAATTGAGACTCCCAGGGTCCCGTTATCAAGCAGAGAAGCTACCATTTCCTTTACCAGAAACTTGCCATGCAGTGTGAGCAGTAAAGAGAACAGAGCAGAGCCGCTACAACGCCTTCTCTCTGGCAATGCGCATGATTCTGCGGCTCTGTGCTCGCCACACTTCAACGCACCTTGAAATAGACTCGCCTCCGCGCCATGACGGACGGACTTCTGAGCCAATAGACCTTGAGGCTTGTGGGCGGTGACCAATGGGCGGGGGAAAGGGGCGGTCCCGGAGGCCTGGCCCGGCTAGGCTTCACCGTGGTGCTGGCTGCGCTCTGCCTGGGCTGGTAGTGCAGGTGCCGCTGCGCTGGGGCCGGGGAGGCTGCGCGCCGAGCCGAGCGGAGCCGCGGAGGGATGGGGAGCGGGCCGCCAGGGCTGCAGGAGCACTGGCGCGGGGCGTAGGCGGGCACGAGCAGGCGTGAGCAGGCGCTCGGGCGAGAAGTGTGCGGCGCAGAAGCACTTTGTGATAGGATGAGGCTCCTGGCTGGCGCGCGGTAGTACTATGATTTGGTATGTGGCCACTTTGATAGCAAGTGTGATCAGCACCCGAGGTCTTGCGGCTCAAGGTGAGTTGAAGTGCAGTGTCCCTGCTCTGCCCCTGCAGGCGCTCTCATTCCTTTCCTCTCCGCCTCTGGCTCCCAGGCCCCGCCGAGCGCTGCGCCTTTTCGCGGGCGAGGCTTGGGCTCGGGTCAGGCGCGCTCCGGGGCACAGCCTGGGAGGGCTGGGAGCAGCGGGCTGAAGGGTCAGGCGGGAATGGGCCCCAGCCCACCGGCTGCCGGGTACTCGGGAAAAGAACCCTTGCAATAGGAGACGACTTTGCCCATCTTCGGCCATAGGGCTTCACACCGGTTTTCCGAGTCCCTTGCCTTAGCCAGAGCAGCCGCCTCCTCCAGCACTGGGGAGTCGGTGGCTTTCCTTAACTCTGGCTGCCGGGGAGTTTGCGGGTGTTCGGGCAGGCTGCAGCACGCTCGCGCCCCGCGCAGCGCCACCGCTCTGCAGACCGGCCCTTGCCGGGAGGCGCGACCCAAAGCCTTGGGATTCTCGGCACCCACGGCTAAGGGACAGGATTCTCCACCCTGCGGGCGCCCACCGCTCCAGCTCGCGCCCCTCCTGACCACACGTCTTGGCAGCCGGAGGTCGGATTCTCCTCGCAGAGCTGGGGGCGCACAGAGCCCCGAGAGAGTAAAAGAGCTGGTTAAGCGCGAGGTCCCTCGGCGGGCTCTGAGAAGTGTCCAGTTTTGCTTAGCCCTGCCAGGCGCCCGCGTCTGAGCCGCACCTGGTCCCTGTCAGGTAAAAGTTCCCTGGGAGCGCACCTCAGCCGGGCCAACCCGACGCAGTCCTCCCAGGCTGCAAGGCTGAGGTGCCTAGGTGCAAGGGCAGTGGGGGAGGGTGTCCCCACTGCTGCATCTTGGAGCGGAGAGAGGTTTTTTTCTCCTTCCCTTTTCTCCCGTCTGAGCTGTGGAAGAGGCTAAAAGGAAGCCAACGAAGCTAGTTGGGTGATGCGCGCGTGAACGCGCGGGCTTTTGCTCTGGAGACGGGCAAAACGACCTACAAACCTCTGGGTGGCACCCCGAGCTCTCGGCCCATGTATGGAAGTAGGAGAGGAGCTCGAGGGTGCCAGGACTCTGAGCTCACGGTTCTCAGCGGACAGACACGACCCAGCTGCGGGCAAGTTCACAAGCCCGGATGAGATGGCTGCGAGAGAGGAACGGTGGATGGGTGGAAGTCAGCAGGGGGGACCCGCCGGGAAGAGAACCCACTCCTAGCTGCGCTAGGGCAGAAGGGGTAGGCAGGAGGGCAGAAGGGATAGGCAGGAGGCGCCTTTTACAGGGTCCTCTCACCACCTTGTCTAGGGATGTGTAAGAGGGAGGAGTGAAGTGATTTGAGAAAGTTTCTGCAATGAAATGTCTCCCATGCGATTATTTGGCGGGGAGTGGGGGATGGGGTGAGGGGGGTGGGCAGGGGGTGGTCTGAAAACAGAACCAGAGCAGGGTTAAGGTAAGGGTGATTTTGTTAAATGGTATGTTGTTGACCTGGATAGTTTTAAAACTCTCCATTTGTCGGGTGGGAAAACTGAGGCTAGGGAGACTGCAAGAGTTTATGGAATGGGGATGGGTGTGAGGCGGGTCAAGTTGTGCCTGAGAATCTGTCTCTAGCCTCAATCTTCTTTCTCCTATTTCCTTGTAGTCTTCCAATGCCCTCGTCCTCCACCCCTCTGTTTCTTGGTATGTTCCTGCTATGGGACTGTCACTGAAAGCACAGAAGGATGTGCTGGGATCTTTGAATAAAAAAGAGACACTGAAGGGAGGTTCTGAAATAGCCTCCAAAGCTGACAAGTCAGGGTGAGGGGAATAGATTTTTTTCAAGTTTAAGGACAGAATAAAGGAAAATGAGTCTATATTGCAGCAACATATAGAATGGCCAGACAGAAGGAACGATCTCCCAATGTTGAATGCTGTTGAGCATGAAGGTTATGCCTTCTTTCTGTATGTGGAGAGGTCCTTCTGTCCGGGATAGCTTGACATGCACCCCAGCCTGCCACTCCTTATTAGTCTTGGGGTCTTTTTAGCCTAAAGAGGCTCTATGTGTGGTGGTTAAAGACTTAGGACCAGAGTCAAATGACCTGGATTCAAATCCTGGCTCTGCCACTTGCTGGTCCTGTGACCTTGGACAAGTTGCTCTCTAAATGTCACTTGACTCAATGGAAAATGGAGTTAACAGGATGAGCTTGTAGGGTTTTTTTTCTTTGTGAACATTAGCACTATAAAGAAATGAGTGGCTACCTGTTATATAGTAAGTACTCAATAAATGTCAACATTTATTATTATTATTAATGATTTCATTATCGTTGAGGTTCCAGGCCCCTTCTCGATTTCTTCTCATTGGCCATTCAGGACATTGGGGCTTGGTTATGACTTAGGGGGAAGTTCAGAAGGCTGCTTCTATCAGGAACCAAGTACCCTTTCATGGGCTGACCTTGTCTGGGGAGAACCTTTTATCCATTTCAGCCTAGGTTGATGTGTGGAGGGGATGCAGGTCTCCAGGCTGCTTGGAAAGCTTTGAAAAATCTGCAAAACTGGAATTTTGTCAGTGGCCAGAGGCTTGAGGGACGGACATGGGGAGCCCAGGAGGCTAGCAGGTCATAGCTTCATAGCCTCTGCAGGGAGAGAAAGGAGACCTGTGTGGCAGGCGCCTGCTCGAGCGAGAAATACCAACAGTGTTCAACTGCTGGCTCTGTGTGAGAGCTCAGCTGTTCTCTGACTGGCAGAGGTGACTTCCGGGGAGATTCCTGAGTGGGAGGGACTTCAAGATGCCATTCTTAGGGTTTGCCTGAAGCAGGGGCTGCTCTAGCAGAGGGGTGCAAGGGTACAATGGGCCCCTTAGGCATTGTTGGGCATGGACAGAGGTAAGGATATGCTCTTTCCTCCTTTTGACTTCAATTGTGTGTCTGAAGGGACTTGAGATCACTGGAGAGGTTGGGGAGGGTATGGAAAAGAGAGAAACTAGAGAGATATCTGGAACCTGGAAAATGGTGACTGGAGTCTCAGCGTCCCAGACATTTGCTGAGCAAGCTCAAGGGAGGACCCTAGGTCATGCTTGACTGACTCTGGGCCTTGATTCCCAAGGCTGCCTCCTTCTGTCTACCACAGATTCTGTGGTTGGGTTATCCATGTCTACAGAATCCCCAAATAAAGTGGATTTCTGACTCAGATTTCTTTGGTAGCTGGACTAGTGTCCTCTACTCTCTCCCTGGCCTTGCCCCTACGTTCTTTCCTTTGGTAATAAAAATGGGAGGGAGATTTAGACCTCAAGGCTTCTAGCAAGACCTCATGGACATCCTATCAGCTAAGAAGGACTTGGCTCAGGAAGTGGCCAAGTGGTGTATATGTGTGCATGCATGTGTGTGTCCCTAGCACACACACACACACTAGAGGCAGGGGTGTGTCTGGCAGCTGTACCTTGGGGAGAAGCTGAGGAGGGGATGTGTTGGAAGGGGCATGGTGGAGGGCTGTGAGAAGAATCAGCTTTCAGCTGCTGGCCTGAGGCCCAACATGTGCTAGACTTGGAGTTGTCAGGTCCCAGAGCTGGGTGGTTTCATGTTTATGGCTCTGAGACAGAAAGCCGGTATCTGGTTATCCAAGAAGCAGAGGCTGCCTAGCTGGAGAGATGCTGAAACCCAGCATCTCTGCCCTCCCTCTTTCCTGGCACTGCTCTCTCCCCATGCCTGTGTTTTCTCTCTCCTCTCTGCCCGCCCAGCCAGGGTGTGGCTCCCAGAACTGGGCCTACTGCTCTCTCTTCTCCCTTGGCCTTTTCTTTCTCTGGCTTTCTGCGTGCCTTGCCCAGGAAGTAAGGGCTGGGAGATAAACCCTAAAGGGGGCTAGGCTTGAGATTTACCGCATTTCTCCATGAACTTCTCTCTCCCTGCCACATCCTGTGGTTTTTTTTCAGTCTGCAGCTCAGGGTCTCAGGAGAGTGGTTCTCTTCTGTCTGCTCCCTAGGACGGGTTAAGCAGCTTATATGAAGAGTGGATCTGAATTGTGAAAAGAACTGTAATTGGTGAAAGTGGTCTGGAGATGTGTGCATGTCTGCATGTGTGTGTACTGTGCACATGTACGTGTGTCTGTATGTGTGTGCACATAGCTGTGTGTGCATGTGTGTTTGTATTCACCTGTGTGTATATCTGTACATGTGTGGAATGCAGCAGGACAGGGCAGTCCATCTACAGGCATGAGATGGGGTCACTCCCTTCTTAAGTGCTGTGGGTAGGAGTGAGACTAGACTCAGAGCAGATGTCTTGCTTTTCGTATCCTCTGGCTCTGCACCTGAGTCTAGGCAGCCCAGAAGTTTTCAAAGTCGGAGGCTCAGCTCAGTTGTCTGAGGTCCCTGAGAGAAGCTTAAGTGGACAAACCCAGGCAGAGCTCCTGGAGAGGCTGACAGGGGGTCTGTCTTCCAGTGACTCTGGCACCCATTGCCCATTATCCAGCACACCCCAGAGCAGAGATGGGCTGGGTCCCTGGGAAGATGGGAAAGGGTGCTGGGTTGGAGAGGCAGCTTACATAGCCCGGACCCTCAAGGGCACTGCCCACGGGTGCCAGTCCAGTCGGCCTCAGGCAGCTGACCTATTTTTCTTAGGAATCTCCTGCGTTTCTGTTCCCTCTTGCGTGAATAAGCAGCAGACTGGTGAGCAGAGACAGGGCCTCCATTAGGGTTTGGAGAACAATTCCATGTAGGCCAGGGCTTTGACAGAGGTCCTAGCCAGTCTGACTGTTCTGACAAGAGGGCTGAAATAGTTTCCTCTAGACCTGTCCTTCTGTCCCCCTTCCCTCCCTCCTTATCGCAGGCACCCACCAACATGGTCTGTGGCAGACGGCTTGCATACAGGCTCGTCTTCACAAATTGTATGAGGTGAGCTACTGTCCCCATTTTCTGGCTTCAGTGTAGGAAACGCTGACGCTTCACTGTGAGTAAATATGAGACTTTGATTTCCCACTTACTTATCATGTCTACCTGGCCCCTTACTCAAGGAGTGTTGCCCATAGCAGGCAGAGCTCATGGTGCCCTCACCTGTCCAGGCCTGCCTACTGGCTCCAGAGCACATGTGTACATTTGGTTACACATGAGTAGGTGCAGGCCTCTTCCCAGGTGTTGGGGAGGGCTTGAGATGGGGTGTGGCTTTGCCTTTCTGCTGAGGAGCCATTAAAGGAACAGAGCTGAGGTTGAATTACTGACTGCTTCCTGTCAGGGGCTCTCGGGGAAAGGGCTCTTGGAAAGACAATCTAGCCGAAAGCATATTAAGGCTGCTAATAGCATTGCTTCCTCACGAGCTGCTTCTGGAACCCAGCTGAGAGGGATAGGGAGGAGAGGTACCCACAGGAGGAAGGAGGCCTGCTGTTCCTGCCCCTCCTCTCCAGTGCCTTTCTGTTCAGAAGATGGGAAAGTTTCCTGGCTAGGCCAGTCTGGGCTTACCTGACCTTTGACTTCCGACTCTGAGAGGTTTGAAGGGGAATGGGGGCTGGAAGGGCTGTGAGGTCACCAATGGGGAGGCCATGGGAGGTGAGGACTTCTCTGAGGATCTGCCAGGCTGGGTGTGGGAGTCCTTGCTGGAGGCAGAATGATGTCCAGATGACCTCTGGCCCTCTTGCCTTCTGGAAAGGAGAACAAGGACATGATCTGAGGTTCTGGACTCAGACGTCTTCTCCATCTCATGCTTTTAGTGTTCTAAGCTTTGTGTTTTGGACAGCAGGGAGTCTCTCCTCTGGCTTCCTCATGCCATCCTCTGGGTGTGTGCCTCCGTGGGAGCCTGAGTTGCCGACTCCCTGGAATCTCCTGGAGCCTCCTGGCTTGTCAGGGAGGAGCGATTAGGGGACTATCGGGGGCTGTGCCTTTTTTGGACTCAGCAGAGATTATTTTTAGGTTGGCAGATGGAGGTGGCGGTGGCTGTCGCTGGTATTATTAGACAACAGGCCTGTAGTTTGGGAGTCTGGTGCCCAGAGGAGGAGAGAGAGGAGGAGGAAGAGGAGGTTCCAGTAAAGACCCATACTCACAAGCCGTGATGGCTGGTGCTCACTCATGGTTTTTCCTTACCACAGCTGCCACTAGACCTAGCCAGAGCCTCCTGAGTCTCAGGCACAGTGAGGCTTAGCCCAGAGCCCATGAGAGTCGGCTGACTGACTGCCTTTGAAATGCCTGCTCTGTCATCCTTCTCTGGTCCTGGGCTGCAGGAGTCTTGCTATCAGAACCTGTGCAGTGCATGTGGTAGGGAGGGGTGCAGTGGGGGACAGGTCTTGGTGTCCAGCCTGTGGTTGGCAGGATGGCATGAATGAGGGCAGGCAAAGAGAAAATGCAAGCTCTCCCACTTGCTGACTGAATGACCTGAGTGACCTGGCTGAGCCAGGTAGCCTTCCGGTTTGCTCATTCGTGAAATGGAGATGGTGGTACTTCTGTCAGGTCGGCATTGTGAGCATTAAATGAACTCCATGTCACATGCCCAGCACAGAGCCTGGCATATGGTAGGTATATAGAGGAAGCTAGATTTTCTGCCAGTTGAAGCTCTCCCTGCATGGGCTCCTGTACCTTCGCTGGTATTGAGAGTGTCTCCCGTTTTCAGCTGCCCTTTCTCCCACAGCCCTGCCCTGATGGAAGAGCTCTAGGTTATGAGCGTCAGGCATGGGCCATGCCAGGCCCTGGATACCTCATGGTTCTGTGCTCACAGAGGATCCGAAGGCAGCCCTGAACTTGGCTCCCTGCTGGGTGCCACCTGGCCCAGAGAACAGTAGATTTGTACCCTGTAGGCTTTCCAAAGGTCAGCCAGACTGCAGGGGCCACCTCCTCCTCCTTTGCCCTCCTGTTCTCCCTTCCCTACTGGGGTAAAACAGCTCCAAAGTGTGCTGGCAGAGCCCAAAGCTGCAGATTTGCTAGGCTCAGGATACTGCTGTGTCCTGCCATCTCTAGAACGGGTATGTGAAATCCAGGATACCTCACAGCCTCCTACTGTCCTCACCCCTGCAGAAGCCAGCTTCCCTATGAGGTTGCAGCCTCCTCCCTTTGGGCTGCTCAGTCTTCTGTGATAGGGCAGGGGATCTGGGGGTCTATTTTTCTTGCAGCTCCTTTCCATCTCAGGTCACATCCATCCTTCTCTTCCCCTCCTCCCTCTTTCTCTTACCCCTTCCTTCCTGCTCCCTTCAGAACCAGTGGGCAGTTGCTCCAGCCAGCTCTGCTAGAGAGAATTCTGCCTGCTCCCTGAAGGAACAGCCTCAGCTCTGTCCCTCTCCTGGTTCTTGGTCCTTTGAAGGCCTGTGTCTATATTGCAGTGACTGAGTCC